AACTTCTGGTTACATGAGCTATTACACTTCCTTTTTTAAGCCACTCTGAGCTGGAGGTTCAATTACTTGCCACCAAAAACATCCTAAGTTAGAGAATGCTTACCATGTGCCAGCCACTCTGCTTGGTACCCTACAAGCATTATTTCCCTTAATCCCTGTGAGATGAATATTGTTGTTATCCCATTCTACAGTGAGAAAACTAAGTCTTGGAGAGATTAAATAGTGTGCAAGTTTTAGAGAGATTATGTGCTCAAAATCGGTTGGTAAGTGGTGGAGACTAGATTCAAAATTTAAGCAGTTCAACTCTGCACTTTTAACCTCCATGCTGTACAACCCAGAAGAGAGAAAGATTTGCTCCAAAAAGCACCATAAATCAGTATTATTCAGGGATTTAAACCGAGGTCCAATGCTCTTTCAATGCTCGTGTGGACGGTGATGATTTCAGAGATCAGGGGCCAGTGTGGTCTCTCCCACTATCCTTCAGCCAAGGCGTCCCTTCTCACGGGACTCATAGTCTGGCTTAACTGAATGGCCCTTCTCTCTAATCGTTGGCTACAGTCTCTGGCTCTCAATGCTCATCTCCCTTCCACCTCCTTCATTTCTGCCTTTTTAGCTCATTAATTGACTTTTTGCAGCCATTGAAGAGAAACATGTGATTCTCCTGGAAAATCCCCCTGGCAGGGGCAAGATCATTGCCAGCGAGGAGTTGTCATCAGCAAGGAAATTAGGCTGTCTGCTGGGGGTGTGGAGGATGAGTTGGCAGGTTTCCCATGCTAATTGGTTTCAGTCTTGATTTGGTGGATCTTCCAAGCCAGGTGACAGCTCAACAGTGCCCAGCAGTCTCAGGCGTGGAAAGAAGGCAGACACTTGAAGCTGATTCAAGCTGAAGATGAGTCACCAGGAGCTCTACTGTAGGGACCTCATGGGCCTCGGATTGTCTGTGAGTGAGGGGACAGATGGATGATGGCAACGTCATCATGCTAATAAGACAGGAATGGGAGCCCACCCCTGCACTGTGGGGTTGTGGAAGTGGGAAGGCAGTAGGATGCCATGCTTATGAGCACGGCCTTGTAATTAAGCAGATGTAGCTTTGACTTCCAGTTCAGTTACTTGCTAGCTGATGATTGCAAAAAATGAGTAATGGAATGTCCCTGAACCTCAGTCTCCTCCTCTGTAAAAAATAAGGATAGGACGGTTGTAAGGATTAGATGTGATGAGCATTATGCCTGACACATAGTAAGAGCGCAATGCCTTTGAAGACAATGATGTTGGCTGGGAAGATGATGATGATAATGATGAAAAATTGAGTAGATAGAGAATGTGTCAATTTAATGGTCAAAGTCCCTCCTTCTTAAGAACAACTCCAAACAGATCCCAGCCTCATTTGACAAGACTCTCTGGTTCTATCTTGCCTCTTGCCCCTATGTTTCTTCCTTCCTTAAGGAAAGCACAATTCAGCACACTTGATATTTACCCAACAATCAACTGGCTCTTCTGTGGCTAGCTGCAAAGATGATTTCCTAATTCATCAAGCTGTGTTAATGGTGAACACCCACCTCAACTCAGTAGAGCCAATTAGTCAGGCTATATACAGAGTTGGGAAAGGTGAACCAATATAGATATGGTTAATTTCAAGAGAAAATGTTGGTTACGGGGTAACTAAGCCTCAGTATCCAAAGCTATTATAATGATCTTATCAGGTTCATGGTGAAAAGATTATCCTTATTCAAATATTTCCCAGGATTCCATTTACATCTGCCATTGAATATGGTGTGGTCATCCAGTGGGCCAAAGTACACGTGTCTTATTTGAAAGTTTCAGGGAAGATTTGTGCCCAGGTTTCTAAATCTATTGGTAGAAGTAAGGCCATGTGCAGACTATCATTTGAGCAATGCATGGGTACCATATTTAACTGGCTTCGGCTCACCTGCTTATTGTGCCTGTACGTGTAAAGCTGAAATATAGAGAAGAGGTGATCTAGTGCAGAATTATAATTTTGCTCCATGGAGCCCTAGAGGTGAGGTAGAGGTGCCACGAAAGGTCTGGGGATGGAGAAGCACTGGAGTTCATAGAACTCTGGAATGACTCCCCCTCACTTCACCCAGAGCATCTATTTCCGTTTTCCATATTGGGCTTTCATATAATATTACTCACAACTTACCAACAAAAGTTTGGAAATCACCCTCTTGATTAAACCCATTCATTTTCCAGGAGAGGAAACTGAAGCCCAGAGAAGTCAAATGACTTGCCCAAGGTTGCACAGCTAGCTGCTAATGGAATCTAGACTAGAATTCCGGACTTAGTGATCAGCACTCTTGCCTAAGACAAGCTACTGAAGCGTTCTCCTGCAAACACACACTTCTAATCTCCATGACTGTCACTGTAAACATCAACCTACCTGTGAGTGTGCAGTCGTGTATTTGGTACCTTGGGGCTTTGAGGGGCGGAGTGTGGGGGTAATATTATGCTGAACAAAGTTTTGAGTAGTGCATGAGTCTGCCAGATGGAAAAGGGAAGAAATGGCAGCATTCCTAACTTAAACCTCTCTGAAATTAAGAACCATGTTATAAATGTAAGGCATCCTGTTCTCACCATATTACCATGTACATCAGTCAGAGTCCAGTCAGGAAGCAGGAAGCATGTTAGTATTTCAAATACTTGGGGTTTAATCCAGGGAACTAGTTACAAAGTGTTGGAAATGCTAAAAGAACAAAAAGAGAAAGGGAGGCAGGCCAGAAACTAGGAACCACAGAAAGCAGCTACTTCTCCAAGGGCTGAGACAGAAATGAAGTCGTGTTATTACCCAAACCCAGGAATGTTCTTATGACTACACCACTGGGGGCGCCAGAGAAGTGATGGAATCACCAAGGAGGGGCCCCTGGGTCAGTCCTAGGACCAACCAAGATGGCTCCCCCAGGCCCGTGCTGAGCTGTGGTCACTCAAGTCAGAACTGTCAGAGATTCAGCCACTCCCAAAGATCACACGAGAAACAGCAAGAGAGAGAAAGGAACACGTCCTCCCACCTCCTCCCGCCTTCCAACTTCCTACCAACGCTTCTCATTGACTGAACCTCCCAAGGGGGCTGGGATCTGTGGTTTGCAGGGATACAGGCCCTGTGATGCGGAGTAGAACACTGAAGGGCTAGAATGGAGCTAAGAATAAATAGGCAAATAACCAGCACACCACATTTTCTAAAAGCAATGATCTTTCCAGCAGTTTCTCCATTGTTCTCAAATTCAAGGTCTGCTCTTCCTCTCCCCCACAAACACACATTGACACACTGATGCACCCACAATAGCAACAAATCTAGAACAACCCAGTGGTGGACATTTGTAATTTTTTGTCTGCTCAGTACCAGAAGCCTCTTCCTATTTGGGGGGAATCCTCCATTGTACAAAGATGAAACTAGATCCTTGATTTCCTAGCTTCCCTTGCAGCTAGGAGGTGGCATATGACCCAGACTCCACCAATCAGGTACATCTGCTCTTGGACTTGGAATCTCGTGTTACTGACTCAAAAAAAGTAGATACAAGGAAGTTCCATCCTGATGGAGTAGTGGCTACATCCAGGCTCCAAGTACCATAATAGTAGGTATGCCAGTGGCTATATCTGGGGTTCAGTGACATCCAGGTTCCAATGTGCCCTTACTGAACCAGTTCTGTCATGTGATTTGACCTTTATTCTCTACCTTTCCTGGGGATTTTAAGAACTATCCAAATCTTTTCAATAATTTCATTTTCTGCTTCAATCATCTAGAATAATTGTCTGTTGCTTGCAATCAACACCCTCAACTAGCATAAACTCCTTCCTTATTTTGTGACCAGAGATCTTGTATCTTGATTCTACCACTTCTGATTGCACAAGTTCTAGTGAGTTTCATCTCACTCAGTATCCAAGAGAAATAGGCAATGGCAGATATGTAAGCTCTGGCACAGAACCCTCCAGAAGTCCTGAAGAGCTGGAACATGCTGCCAGCCTCCAGCACCCAGAGGAGTGAAAGCATGCTATCTCCAGTTATGACCATGGAGAAGAGTTGCTTGCTTCAAGGTTCAGACTCAAAACCCAATGGCAGAGATGGAGCCCTCTTCCTGCCTCTCCCACAAAGACATCCCATCCAGAAGCTCTTGGCTCTATTGCATCTCCTGCCCTCTCCCAGGCCAAGCACTCAGGAATGATTGACTTCTACTCCCTTGCAATTTCAGAACCTTCAGCCTCCTTGCATTATCAGCCAATGACATCCAAAGGGTAGGATACTTGCCCTGCTCCTGCTATTCTAAATCATCATCTATTAAATTAGTCATCTACTGCTGCATAATAAATCATCTGAAAACTTAGTGGCTTAAAACAACAATAGTTGTTTATTACCTCTCATGGTTTCTGGGGTCAGGAATTCAGTCAGAGCACAGTAGGATGGCTTCTCTCTGCTTTATGATGTTTGGGGGCCTCGCTGGAAAATTCAAGGGCTGGAGGCTGCACTCATTTGGTACCTCATGAGTGACCTCACTCGTTCAGTGAGGGGTTATTCACTCTCATGTCTGGAAGTTGAAGCTGTCTGTCAACTGGGAGCCTAACTGAGGCCATAAACTAAGACACTGCCACACAAGGCCTCTCCATGGCTTGAGTTTCCTTACAAGATGGCAGCTGGGTTCCAAGAGCCAGACCATATTGCCTTCTCATGATTTAACCTCGAAAGTCATGTGGCATCACTTCCACCACATTCAAGGAAGTTACAAAGATCTGCCATATTTTATGGAGAGGGAACAGAGTCACCCACCTCTCAATGGAGAAGTGTCAATGTCACCCTGTAAGACAAGCCTGTACTATGGAAGATATATTGGCGTGGCCATCTTGGGAAAATACTTTCTGCCGCAGTCACCTCAGTAATTCCCAGGCTAAGAAGGCCTCTTGGGACTCATTGTCCCTGGCTCATGAGACAACTTACTGTGCACCTGCCCTTCTAAGTATACCCACTAAGTCCAGAACACCCTAGACCCACTCACCTTCTAAGAGGGGAACTGCATTCAGTGAGCCTCAGACGGTCTTCTGGATCCCTCTTCTGAAGAAAAACAAATAAACACAAATGTCATCTCAATAGGGCTCCCTGGTACACATGTGAACCCAATGATACTGACTTCAACAACCCCTCAGAGCTATACACTGCTTTCTAGTTCACGCTGTGCTTTCGCTTGCACAGGCTCATTTAATCAATAAATCCCAAGATGACTTTTCCGAAGGAAAAAAGTAAATAAATAAAACTTGTTAAGTACAACACGGCTCAAAATTCACTCTCCCTACGCTTCCCCAGCTCAACTTCTGCCTCCTGGAATTATATTCATGAAGATTTAGACCCTCTGGGGCTGACACCTCGGCATGAAATGCACTCCACATCAGCAAGCTTGTCGAGGGGGGAGAGGGAACCAGGTAAGAAGGTGGCTTACACAACAGGAAGAGGAGGCCCTAGCAAAATTGAGCTAATGTTCCTAAGCTACGGATCTTGCAGGAGCTGGATAATTTTGAGGCAGAAAGGCACCAAATAAATTGACTGTGTATTTAGCCCGCAGGCAAAGCATCAGTGGTTCATTGCTGAGAATTTTCATAACACCTTCCCACAGCCCCACTCCCTCAGTTCTTTGGCTGTAGGTCAGGCCTCACTCCATGTGAGATGAGGGCAAAGTGGCGTCAGGGAAGCTGGAACTGGGTACCAACTCTACAGCGCTCAACAGTGTAGAGATTCTAGGCCCCGATTTTTGCGGGGGAGAATCACTTTAGGCTTCCACCATGACTGTAGAATAAAAGTTACTTGCACTTGTCAAAAAGCTTGGGTTATTGATGCTGAAATTTGAAGCGGGCTTCTCATGGTAAATAAAAATGGTAGCCATCCTTTGAAGATGCTCAGTTTGTGCCAATCACTGAACTATATCCTTTACAGGTATTATTGAGTTTGATTAATTAATCTAACACATGTTATTGAGTACCTACCATGATCTCCTGGAGATTATATGAGGTATGTGCTGTTAAAGTTGGGACTAAAACCAGCTCTGTGAGATTCCAAAGCCTGACCCATTAACCACAAACCCTGAACCCCGAGCTGGCAACGTGTGTCTTCTGTGACCTGAGGACCCGGTGCCAGGCATCCGAGGGTTCATCTCAGGCTTCAAGGCTCAGCAGGCTGAGCTACTAGTTTAAAATACTTTGGTGATCTGTGGAGACAATTCAAAGGAGGAAAATGGAGAGGCTCTCACAGGCCCAGCATACGTAGAGGGTGTCAGAGGGACTGGTCAGGCCTGGGTTAGAATTACAGCTCTGCCACTTACTAGCTGTGTGACCTTGGGTGAGCTACTTCACCTTTCTGTGAAGAGGGGATAAAGCAAGTAGATGAGATAATGAGCTAAAGCATAGTGCCTGGCTCACAGGAAGCGATCACGCGATGCTTGATGAAGATGAAAGTGAAGATGAGGATGCAGCTTAGAAGAAGCGTCTCCAAGCGGCAGCCAGAGCCTGGAAAACCAAGAACGATAGTTGAGTATATTGCAAAACAAAATACACATGCCAGCCCCTCAGAGGTGAAGATGGGGTTTGCACCATGCCAGGAAAAAGGGAGAGGGTCAAATGTCAAGAAGGATGCAATTCATCCTTTCTTTCATTCATTCATCCATCCAGTCGTTCAATAAATATTTCTCAGACCCCTGCTACATGCAATATGCTCTGTGATGCCAAAAGGAGTGCAGGACCCAGTGCTGTCTGAGGAAGTTGGGCAGGGAGGCAGTCAGGGGAATAAATGTCATCACAAGGCTTTGGGAGACATCAGTCCAGAGACGTGGGGGCTACACTGGTGGGTCAGGAAGCGGAGTGGGGACTTGTAGGCTTTCCCCATAGTTCAAATAGCTTCACAGGCATTGAATCTGCCACCAGATTCTGGAAGCCTACGAGGCCACAGGGGACTGGGTTTGAAAGGCCTCTCTGGATAGCTTTGTCTAGTCTGAACCATCCCAAGTAAACCTAATGACTCTTAGAGCAAAGCTCTGAGACATACCTGGTTCCAGAGGTCTCAGGCTGGCCCCTGACATAGTCAAAATAGACGGCTACCTACCAACACAAGGGGACAGCCAGCCAAAAGTTGTCCTTGCTGAACTGCCAGAACCCCCCTCAGCAGAGCCAGGCCGTGGTGGTCCACAGGGAGACCCACTCAATGGCTTCACTCACAGGTACTAAATGCCCACCAAGTGCCAATCTCTGGGCGAGGCCTGGGGGTACAGCATTAAATAAAACAAATGAGGTTCCTACCCTTGAGGAGCTCATGTTCATGGTCAGGAAACAACTAGAGGATTGGTCTGCAATCCCTTATCTGAAACCTTTGCCACCAGATGTTTCTGGGGATAGAGAATTTTTCACATTTCAGAGAAGTCATGCGTTCAAATTTCATATAATGCATTATACCCCATAGAGTCTGGGTCAGCACTTCCTAGTCAAACACACGAAGAGTTCTGCAGCCACACATATCAATACTTACACTAAGGGGGATAAGATAGTTTCACATCAGTTTAGGTCAGATTTTCCTACAAAAACTGCAAATTTATGTCAAAAATAAACTGATGAGTGCCAAACCTATTTTTTTTAACGTTCCGTTTTCAGGGCATTTGGAATTCAGAATTATGGAAGAGGATTGTGAACAAGATAATTTTAGACAGTGACACAGGCAATGGAGACAATCAGAGAGAGTAATGTAATCCTGAGTGAGGTGGGGACAGAGCATCTTCAGGTAAAGTGGGCATGCATGCAAAGCACCGTGCAGGGCCCTTGACACGCATTCTCTCATGTCATCCTCTACTCCCCTGGGAGGTAATGTTGTCACTTCCATTTACAGACAAAGAACTGGAGAACTGGTACCATTAGGAACCTCATTCTAGGCCAGCACTCCCCAAACCTCCACAAATACTGCTCATGGTTTTACTATGTTCACATGCTCCTCTCTAGTCCTTAAGATTCTCCTTTAAATCAAGTCAAGTTTTTTAACTTATATAATTTTACTTTTAAGGGAAGCATTATAGAACCACCATAAATGGAAAGATGGTATCTTTGTAATACACATAAAAATATGGTAGCTCTTAACATTGTGCGCTGTTTGCCTCTGCACCACCTAAACATTATCCATGCAGACCACACTTTGAGAAACGCCAATCTAGGCCAACAAGCAGAGCCCGGCCTGAGCCCCATGCTCTTTCTCTCACGAGGAACTGCCCTGCTAGACCAGGATGGCAGCAAGACCAGCTGGATCCATTTCACCAGCTCACCACATCTTGGACCCAATGGAATCTTCACCTTCCTAGGAACTCATCCAGAATGGACTCTGAAGGTAGAAGAAGAAGGAAGAAAGAAGAAGAGAAAAGAAGAAGAGGAAAAAAGAGAAGGAGGAGGAGGAGGAGGAGAAGGAGGAGGAGGAGGAGGAGAAGGAGGAGGAGGAGGAGAAGGAGGAGGAGGAGGAGAAGGAGGAGGAGGAGGAGGAGGAGAAGGAGGAGGAGAAGGAGGAGGAGGAGGAGGAGGAGGAGAAGGAGGAGGAGGAGGAGAAGAGCAAGAAGAAGAGCAGCCACCAAGCACTGCGCTAAGTGCTTTACAAACAGTGCCTCATTGAGGCTTCACAGCCCTGGGGTAGATACCATTGCTACCCCCATTTCACAAAAGAGGACACACAAGACAAGGGGAGGCCAAGGTCACAGAGCTACCAGAGGCAGAGCTGCGATTCAAACTCAGGTCTCAGGCCTCCAGAGCTTGTACCCAGCCTTCCTTAGTATCATTCCCGTCCTCCCTTGGACACTTTAGAGCACTCTGCTACACAATGGTGCTGAAGTCCTCACACACTGGTTTGCAGGTGTTGTGGATGTGCCTTTCTCACCAAGTTGTGAGCTTCTGGAGGGCACAGCCCATGTTTTAATGCTGCCGGAAGACTGTAAGATCTGTGAAAGCAGGGATCATTTCTGTCTTGTTCAACTCTGTGCCCCCTTCCCGTAGGGCAGTGTCTGATACCCACAGGAGGTGCTCAGTAAACACTTGTTGAGTGAATGAATGGATGGACAAAAGGATGGCTGGATATCCACCCTTGAATCTGGTATCCCAGTACCCAGCACAGTGGCTGACACATAGAAAGAGCTCCATAAAGATTTGTGGAATGACAGTCCTGTTACTTGAAAATTAAGCAGAACTAATTCTGTTTTTAGAATTCAAAAAAGATGAATTTTAAATGGGGCGTTCTTCTGTTTAAATAAATAAACAAACAAACAAGCTAGCAATAGGCAAAGAAAGAAGAGAGAACACTTTCCAACACAGTTATGCAAGATCAATTTAGACAAAAAATGTTAAAAGCCTGGATTTGAAACCAAACCTGAGCCCAAAAGGAGTCGTCTTTTTGGCAACATGCTTCCACGAGAACACACACTATAATCCCCAGCTCTTGTATCAATTCCTCAGAGACAGATGGCACCCATCAATTTTAAGTGATTAAATGCATTCCTGGAATTCTCAAGTGTTCCTCCTGATTCAGATGGAAGGTGTGTGTGCTCAGGGAAGAGAGGAAACGTCTGACGATCTATTGTTCAGTGAATGTGGGTGCGGGAGGGGTGGAGAGGAAGGGTCAGGGTGCATGAGTCCCTTATTTAGGAGGGTTTGGAAATTTAATAGGATGTGAAACCAACTGCATGTTGAAGAGCACATTAGGTCCTCTATCCAATCAGTTCTTGTTTTATGAGGTGATCATCTCAGGGTAACACACTCATCAGCCACACTCCGCTGGAATCTCAAATGTAACAACCCCCTTGACAAAATTCTCAAGGACAGAGAGTACTGCCCAGCACAGGGCAGAAAAACATCTGGTTTTTCCAAGTCACCAAGACAGAAAGATGCAGGATCGTTGCACATATTCAATGAGATAACGGGTGAAATTGCCTAACTCATTGCCTATCACGTGGGAATCCAAAAATTCCCTTCTGTAATAATAAAAGAGCTCCATGGAATTGAACTCTGTCCAGGCCCCAAATAATTATTTACATAATATGGGGCAATTTTCAAATTGCCTGCACATCTTGTCTTTCATTTTTTTCTCCCCAGCCACCCTTTGAGGCCAGTTGGCAACGGCTTTATTATCTCCACGCAGTTGAGGAGGAAATTAACACTCAGACAATCAAGCCCCTGACCCAAAGTCGCACAGCAAGGAGGTGGCAGAACTGGGATGGAAATACAGCTCTTTGAATTCCAGGGGCTATTTTCCTGGAGTCCTCTGTCTCTGCCACTGGCTGATGTGGCTGTCTCAGACCAGCCCCGCCCAGGGATGAAACAGATAGACATTTAAGCAGAGTGACTTTTAAAAATTTCTCTGATCTTCTCCTCCACTGCCCTTCCAAGGTTCTCCAAATCCCCAGCCAACTCTTTTCAAGGTCGAGTGCTAACAACCAACCCCTCACAGAGTTATCCCGCCTGTGTCTTCGAAAGAGCCCAGGTCTGTCCTTGTTGGTGAACATTTGAGTCAAGATTTTGCTTCCAGACTCCCAGTGCCTTCATCCATAAAAGGAAGAGTCTGGATCACATGATCTTCAAAGTCCCCTCCTGCTGGGTCATTTGCTGTCACTCCAATCTAAACAGACGTCTGAGGAGTTTGGCCACCTCTTCCCTGTCCACTTATAAAAGGCCCAATAGCAGGATAAGAACAAGGGCACTGGGGCCTGGAAAGAAATGCTCCTGCCAGAGCCTGGTATGCCTGAGAGCCCGGGGGCTGGCGCAGCTCCGATTCTAATGCCATGGAGCCAGTAACACTCACCACCCCTCCCTGCATGCTCCCCCCACACCCCCTGCCCTTCCTCTCTCCTTACTCTGCCTGGCCAGGCTGGCAAACCATAGGCAGACAGCTATGGGCTCTGGGCAAGGCTGGTCTGTGGGATCTCTGCTGGCTCTGCTTACGATTCCACTTAAAGAAACCAGTTATGCTCGTATTTGTGGTCCTACCAAATGTGTTTGGATTCTTGTGGTTTGTCGGTGAGAATCGTTGAAGGATGGACCCTGTTGGCCCCTGCCACCACAACAACCCATAAGTCCGCTGGTTCCCTATGAAGCCAGAGAGCAGGGGGAGAGAGAAAGAGCAAAAAGAGAGACTGACTCACAAGGTATACAGACATTGAGAATTATCCCCTTTAGATTGTAAAAGCCACTGCATCCCAGAACCTGATTCCCAGAAGGTGTGTGTGTGCATGACAACTGAAACTCGAATAAAGAGCTAATTCTCAGCAATTTGTACTTCTGATTTATGTTTATAAGCTAGAGGTTAGATTAAGAATACAGGCATTAGGGGCTGTTAGTATATCGAACATATATTTACAGAGTGCAACAAGGTGATTTTTTAATAGTCTATTATTATTTTAAAATACTGATTATTGACCATTTGCAAGATGCTTGTCACTATCTAAGGACTTTCCTTGTATTATCTCATTTAATCCTTAAAACACGCTATGAAGTTATCATGGAGATACGGACTGCTTCTTTTGTTTGGGAGTTTTCTGACTATCTGCTGTTAGTATCAATGAAGAGAAGCTAAGGGGAGGCTTGGGAGGGAGGGACAAATTTGAGATGCTCACTTTAGAACAGGAAGGCAAATAGATTTTAGCTCAAGCGCCAGCTACAAGTGAAAACTGGTGGGAACCCGGAAAGTTGGGTTGAGAAAGATTCTGAGATTAAGTCCGGGCTTAGTGGGAAAGAGTGGCATGATTGACAGGCAATGCCTGTCATGGGCACTCAAGGAAGAAGTATCATTCCATGTGACAAGTATTTGCCATTGTTGCTGAAGAACAAATTCCAGACCCATCCTCCAGTGCAGGAACTTCTGTGGATGCCTATACAGGTTGTGCTCTGCACAACTCTAGAGGGTGCCATTCATATAGATTTGGATGTAAATGGAACCCCTTGGACTCAGGCAGCTCTTAACCTGCACAACTGTACCTGGCAGGCCTGTACATGTGATCTCTCATGGAAACGGAAACTGAGGTAGGAGATGACAAACTGGACGGCAGAGATGAGTCCTTAAATGTTAGGTGCTTTAGTGCAAAGAGCTCCAGGTGGGAAATAAAGAACCTTTGGCCCTTCTTTTAATTTGTTGTGTGTCCTGAAGCAATCTCTTTCCCTTTTCTAGGCTTCAGTTTTGGAGCTTATGATATGAGCTGTTTAGACCACAGGGGCCCTGAAATCCTTGCCAAATGTGTATGTGGGGAACTTCGTTGTTGAGTTTGCCACCCAACATCTCTTCCCCTTCTTGTGACATCATAGCCCAATCCTGTTTAAGGGAGCTGCCCTCCCTACTCTCGACATTGAAGCTTTACTCTGTTTATAAGCATATGGCTGAGCTAAACCAAGCAGCACGTTTCATCCACCCCTAACCCCTAGACACAGTGACTGGTTCAGAGCTGGACCCATAACTCCAACAGCACCAACGAGACTAAAGTCCAGGGATTTTTTTAAAGCTAGGATAGAAGTACACTTCATCTTTCTTATTGTATGTGAACCTGGAAGGATGTAGCCCCAAGTCATCTGGGGGACCACGAGGGAAATTCTATTTGAAAATAGAGCCCTCATCAAAGAAGCAAAATCAAAAAATAAGGAAACTGTATTCCGGTCATACTGTTTGAACCCTGTATCGAGCTTCACCTGGAGCCGGACACTCTCTGACATGAACCAATAAATTCCTTTTGTGTAAGTAGTCTGGTGTGGCTTTTCCACTAAAAGAATCCTAATTGAAAATGTATGAATTCATGAATATAAAGAAAGAATTTTGCACCCTCTAACTCTGGCCAAAACTGGTCTTGGTATCACTGGCAAGAGTCCAGCAGAAATGGGAAGCCTGCATGATGCTATGAGAAGATGCCCAATAAGCAACCTAGATTCCATTTAAGTGCTTCCCCTCCCCCAACACGTCACACACATGCAATGGGACTGGGCAAATGAACCAAGTTATTACCATGCTTACCAAGATTTCCACTTCCAAATGAGTGCTGTCATCAAAGCAGTCACCTGGAGAGGGAGGCTGTGGATTTATTTCTTTATGTCAAAAATGCTTCCAGGACTCTTTTCTTGAAGGTCTGTAGATCCAGTATGCAAAAGCCCCACTGAGAACATTCAGATCAAAATTACAACAAACCTTGATTGACCACTTATTAAGTGTAAAGGGCTATGACAAGCACTGGGACATAAGCAACAACAACGACAAGCATTCATAATTAGAAGGAAAAAATAAAGCAGGTGTCCAATCCACGCAAACATGGCACTCCTGCTGGCTCATAGAAATAATCTTCAAATGGTAAAGTGGTTTTCTAGGCAAACCCTCAAGCTCTTCTCGCCTCCATCCCTTTTGGATCCTATGTGTTCTTCAGGGAATACCTATGAAGCACTTCTTTTCTAATATCTATCCCTCTTGTCATCTATATGGTTACCATGGAAGCCATCATAGAAGTGACCCCTTCCCCCTGATCAGTGTTGATGGTCCAGGGCTAGCCACCTACACAAGCCTGATCAATCATAGAACCCATTGCCTAGCAACAGCTGATTGGTTCAGAGGCAAGCCCCTGACCCTCAGACTTATCTGAGCCCTTCCATGGGAGTTTTGAGTCTAGACAGATACAAAGGAGCCAGGCTTTCTGTGGCTGCCTATTTCTCAGATGTAAAAATTAGGACTTTTTATGGTCTTGTTCCTCATCATGTGAATCAGAGAAAGAGAGGGCTTCATCCTGCGGAAAGAAAAGAAGAAAGAAACAAAGATGAGATATGGGATGTAAGGAGTTATCGAAAGGGTTTTGAACCCCTGGATCCAGTTGCTCCTGAAACCCAGACACTTGCCAGGTTTTGAATTGCTCGTTATACTCAACTAATTTATAATAAAGTCCTGTTTTTGCTTAAGCTAGTTGGAGCTGGTTTTCTATCAGCTAAAACAAAGAGTCCTTACAAACATGATCCAGATAGGACAGGTGTCTCTGGTTCCGGTCTAAGTCCACCCAGCCAGATTTGGTCTCCTCCCCAATTCCTGCATTTGGATCTGTACAGTTCTGAACCTTGACCCCCCTCCAACAGGATGCCTTCCCGCCTCTCAGGTGGGGCATCCCAGCTTGCAAAACTCCACCTTGTTTTCCCTGTGAAGGGAAAGGAATGGAACAAGACGTTCCCAAGAAACCATGACGCTCAGCTGCGGGTGTGGACTGTGCCAGAGCTGTGTCCATGGAGCTGTGGCAGAGCTGAGGGAGGAGCAAGCAGATCCAGCTGCAAGGACCAGGAGAGGACTGCAGGGACTTAGCGAATCCTCGAGGGCTGGGTGGGACTTTAATAGGTGAAGAGGATTGGAATTACAGGAGGCAGTCAGCTTGGAAAGAGAATTTTTAACAGAAGAAACAAAATGGGCCAAAAAGTTTGTGGGAAAATGTGAAGTGCAGCCTTAGTGGACTTCTAAATAAAAAAGCCTTCCATCTTGATTCCTACATTATTTAACAGACTTGGCTCCAACTGACTTTGCCTTTCAAATGGTTATTTTTTGAGGAGAAGGGGACAGTTAATTACATGTCTATTATTTAAAAAAGAAAAGAAAACTTTTAGAAAATATGGAAAAGTATGAAATCACCCATAATCCCTCTACCTACTCAGACATAATCCCAGCTAAGACATTTGTATATATGCTTATTACCTCTTTTTAAATCATCCGAACATTTACATATTATAAAAGTACATTTTAACTGTTTGTACAGTTTGGTATCGTGGTTTCGTTCACTTTCAATACTTTATGCACAGAATGTCATTAAATATACCAAACGTCACAATTTTACATCATTATCAGTTAAATGGCTCTAGAGTGTTCTCTGTGTGATGTGTTATGTCTTAACCAGTTCCCTACTGATGGCCATTTAGGCTGCTTCCTATTAGGCGTGAGTGCATGTGTGTGAATTTGCTTTTATATCAACACTGTGATGAACTGATCTTGTTGCATTTGTTTGTTTGTTTTCTTAAGGTAAATACCAAGAAGTGTGATTGCTGTGTTAAAGGGTATACATATTTCATTTTGACTCATATCGTCAAACGCCCTTTAGAAATGTGCCAATTTACGTCTCCCAACACTCTATGAGACAATCAGTCTTCCTTTACCTTTTTCAGACTTTTCAGAGTTAGTTTTATTCCTCTCCATCTGCCCAAAAGGTAAAAACCTGATGTCATTGTTGTGTAATTTGCATTTATTTTATTACTACTTTCTTTTTTTTTTTTTTTTTAAGATTTTATTTTTCCTTTGTCTCCCCAAAGCCCCCGGTACATACTTGTATACTTTTTTAGCTGTGGGTCCTTCTAGTTGTGGCATGTGGGATGCCGCCTCAGCATGGTTTGATGAGCAGTGCCATGTCCGCGCCCAGGATTCGAACCGGCAAAACCCTGGGCCACCAAAGCGGAGCACACGAATTTAACCACTTGGCCACAGGACCGGCCCCTATTACTGCTTTCTACTACAACTTTATATGTGACTATTGGTCATACATATGTTTTATTTAAGATTTATCCATTCATGCCCTTTTCACACTTTTATTTGGATGTTATTTATCGTTTCATGATTGATCTACAAGGACTTTTTAAATATCTAGAATATTAATTATCTATTATTCTTATATGTTGACAACCTGTTTTTGATATATCCTTTGTGTTTTATCTTAGTAACGTGGGAGGTTTTGCCACATAAGTTTTACATTTTTGTTTATATCGATATTCATTTCTTTTATAGTTTCTAATGTTGATACCATTATTGAAAAGAATTCCCCTAACCCTAAGAAGTGAAAAACATGCACCTATACTTTCTTCTACTATTTTTATGATTTAAATGTTTACATTTAAATCTCTAATTTATCTGGAATTTATGTTTTATGGAAGGTAAAAAGTAAAGTTCTAACTTTTATTTTCCAAATATCCAAAATTGACACTTTTTGAAAAATGGAAATGTCATCTTTATCACATATTCATTCTCATGCATAGTTGGATCTGGCTTTAGATGATCTCTTCTATTCCAGTGGATCTGGTTTTAAAAGATCTATTCTATTCCAATGATCTGGTTTTAGGTGATCTATTCTGTTCCAATGGATCTGGTTTTAGATGACCTATTCTATTCCAGTGATCTGGTTTTAGATGATCTATTCTATTCCAGTGATCTGGTTTTAGATGATCTATTCTGTTCCAAGGGTCTGCCAACCTCACCCTCTGCTAGTAGCACTCTGTTTCACCTACAGTCACATTTTCAAGCATTTTAATCTGGTAGGGCAATTTCCTCCACATAACCCTCCTTTTTCTAAATGCTTTTGGCTGTTCTTAAGTATTTATTCTTCCAGAAACACTTTGGAATCATTTCGTTAAGTTCCCTCCAAATCCCATTGATATTTTGAATGGAATTTCCTTAAATTAATAGATTAAATTGTAGGGCATTGACATCTTCACTATCCTCCCAGAAGCATAATATACCTTTCCGTTTACTCAAGTCCTCTTTCATGCTCCTCACTAAAGTTGTGTCACTTTCTCCATATAGATCTTACACATTTCTTATTAAAGTTATTTCTGAGTATTACATATTTGGTTACTATCATGAGTGAAGTCTCTTTTCTATTACATTTTATATAGCAAGTTCATGCTGGTATACGGCAAGCCACTGAAATATATACACATATATTTATACTATTGGACCTGTCTGGTGAAGCAGGAGCCATGGAAGTGATGAACCTTTACCAGAACTAGCCCCCAGGAAAGAAAGAGAGAGAAATGTCCTGGTTTCTCCTGGTTTTCTCTCTCCTCCATGCCGCAAATTTGGCCGGAAGCCAGATGACAAGGGAGCCTGGGAACCGCAGCCTGGAGGGTGAGGGGTCAGCCCCAGCCATATAGAACAGCACAAGGGAAGTCATGGAAGGGATCTGGGGCAGACAGGCCAAGGGCCAGGACTACGTGCCGTCATAAGAACTATTGATTCCTTCTAAAAGTCATACCCGCTCTCAAATAATGAGTATTTGACTCCACCACAACGACCACAAGAATGTGCACTGGTTTGAGAACAATATTGAAAGAGGAGAAAAAAATCATTTTAATTGGATTATTGAAAGAAGCTTACTATTTCCTGAGGTGACTATTCTGAAAGAGAAAACCTACATATGGACGTATTGGTATTATTTTTAAGTAGGCACATTAATGGAGAATTATTCATTATGTAAAATACGTATTAGGCCCTCCAACAAGTGCCCAAGGAGTGGAGACCAAAGCTGAATCACTCTCTGCAAGAACCCAGTGAACTCTTTTTCTCCCTTCTGCCTTACGGCAGCGTGCTCGCCTTCGTGAGAGGGGAAGTGAGGGGCCTTCTCAGCAGGCCTATCCCCTCCCACCTCCAGCAGGAGCCAAATAGGCCAAATAGGATCCCAACAGGAACAATACTTTAAAAATACAGACTTGCTAAATACCAGCATGAACCAAAGAACCTGCTATAGAATGTAATTTCAACTCTGTATCATTCAACTTTTTTTTTAAAGCTTGGCACCTGAGCTAACATCTGTTGCCAATCTTTTTTTTCCTTCCTTCTTCTCCCCCAAGCCCCCCAGTACATAGTTTATATTCTAGGTGTAGGTCCTTCTGGTTGTGCTATGTGGGACGCCGCCTCAGCACAGCTTGATGAGCTGTGCAAGGTCCACGCCCAGGATCCGAACTGGCGGAACCCTGGGCCGCCTAAGTAAAGCGTGCGAACTTAACCGCCCAGCCACAGGGCCAGCCCCTCAACTTTCTTAAAATCAACTAAATGTTACCTTGAGAAAAAACTCAAAACTTTTCTAAAAGCTTCTTGAGGGGTTCCTTGTTCCTCTCAGCTGTCCTCAGCACCTAGTGGATGCTAAATAGTGAAGTGAAATTGAACCTCTTTAAGTACCAGTGATTGATTTGCCAGCTCTCGGGGGCCCCACACTGTAACATCTCACCTGGAATTACAAACTATTCCACATCTTACCCACCTGTTTAGTCAATAGCACTGTTGACGGCACGGGCTGTGTTTTTCCCGTCTTTGTGTTCCCACCTGATCTAACACGGCCTGGCACAAAGCTCAACCACATTCATGCAATAAACGGAGGAGTGGATGGAGTAGGGCTTGAGTGTTCCCGGCCAGAAAGTGAAGCCTTGAGTAGCTACCTTTGTAATGGTCTGTGTGATGGAGCAATTCCTCTCGGTCTCTGTTTGCGGGAGGTGAGAAGTGGGGGTTTCCTTCCTTCTCTGCTGCCCACGTGTATCTGCTCCCCTCCCAGTGAGTCATCTGGGAACCAGACACCACCACTCTCAGACAGAACATGTCAGGTACCTGCTCGGTGGGGCTGTAAATCCGTGCCGTGTCTCCTGTGGTTACCTAGGGAACCCTGAGGCACAGCCAGGAAGGGGCGCTACAGACAGAGGGGTCTGGCCAGTGTCCCAGCCCCCTCAGCCACAGCCCAGCAGGCACTTCCTGCTCTAGTTTGGAACCCCTGTCCTGTCCCCTGTAGAGGGCAAGGGTAGCCCCTGGCCAAGAGGCCCTGAGAAGCACCAAGATGCCCCTACCACACGTTCAACGAGGCAGAGGCGATCAGTTAGCAAAATAACTGTGAGAGGAATGAGGACAGCTGGAGTCTGGTCCTGCACTCCAGTCCTGGCCCACTACATAAGCAGTCATAAGCAGATCCCCCTTTCACTCTCTGGGGGGGTGAAGATGAAATGA